TTTTTTGTTTTTTTACCAATATGGGTGGCTGCTAGGCCAGCCATTACCATGTTTATATCAGGGACATTGACCAGCTTGGTCACTGGGAGTCACTGGGAGCCCCCGGTGGGGGAAGGAACAGAACAAACAGGAGGACGAGAGCAAAACACATAAGCAATTATTCGTTGAGTAGGAGATGCCATGCTACAACTAGCTAATTGCTAATTCCAATTAAATGACTTTTAAAGACAGCTGATTGCTAATTATTAGCTGTTTTTTTGTACATTACTATCAGAAATGTAAAACAAAAAGGGGAGGGTGGGCTGTTCAGTTCTGCAGGCCTTTGAATGTGTGCTTTAGGAAAGACACCATATCTGTGTCTTATTGATTTCATTTTGATAATTACTTTTCATTTATCAAGTAAATAGAAGATGAATTACTAAGATGACAAACACACACGTATAATATATGTTTACAAAATACAATACAATGTTTTAACATTTTCAGCTCTGAACAATCCCCAATAAAGCTCCTTCTCACTTCATCAAGATGGTCGAGGAGGAGAATATCAAGCTGCAACAGATGCGGTACAGAAACACACATATTCATTGATTATTACACTTTTGTTTTTTAATAGGTTATGACTGACAATTCATCCACAACCTAATGACTCTAATGCTTTAGTGGTATCTAAAACTCCAATATAAGTGAATACAAGTATCAGCACAGCACTTGCAAAAAACTGAAGGTTTATGTAAATTAAAGAATTTTTGATATGAATCATTACTCAAAACATGTTTCTATTACAGCGAGAAGTTTGAAGCCACCAATAACACAGTGGAGCTGCGTCTGCACCTGGCACCTTGTTATAGGTTAGAAAATGGATCCCTGCAGCAGGGAAGTGCTTGTTACGTTGTATAGTATTTGGGATTTTGGCTTTATAGACGTTGCTGCTTTAACTGACTGATAAGACGTCTGTGTTTATGTATAAAGCCAGGAACAATTTATTACCTGGTGGAATTCAAAAACTATTTAATGAAAGGGATGGGGGATACAATTTAAGGGGTCAGTTAAATTATAAAATTCATGTTATACGTACAACCAAAAAAAGATTTTGTATTTCCATAAGTGGGGTAAAACTATGGAATAATTTAAGTGTGGACATAAAAAATAGTAATAGAATTGATGAGTTTAAACATAAATATAAAGGTATGTGTCAATCAAGATATATTCAAGAACAGGCTTAATGATTGATTAGATGGAACATTGTGGGTGTGGTGTATGAATGTTAACACTTTGTAATAATTCTTTAGTATATTACTTGTGTGGTGTAGAAGATAATTATTTAAGAATGTAATTATGTAAGAATGTTAACACTCTGTTATAATTTTTTTAGTATATTACTTGTGTGGTGTAGAAGATAATTATTTATGTAGAGATACTGCTTGTAAACCAATGATGGTAAGATGATGTCATGGGGTAGGACTGGATAAGTCTGACTTCTTCCTACTCCATTCAAGCATGTACTAGGTATAAGCAAATTGATATTGGATTAGCATTTGTTGGATATGTGTAAAATTATGTGTGTTGACATATCAACTGTCTTTACATGCTGGAAAGAATAAATCAAATCAAATCAATCAATTGTAGAAAGGTAAAACACTGCAAACATCCAATTTAAAAATACATGACTGCATTGAACTCACAGTTCAAAAGACAAGCTGGCTTTTCAAATATCAGACAAACAGTATTAGATGGAACTGGACCAGGACCATCAATCACAATGTGGTATTTGCCTTGTGGCAGAGCGACAAACGAGAAATGCTAACCACTAGCTATGGTTAGAGCTGCACTTAAGAGGGTGCACATTATGTCAGCAATAGTGGATGTTAGTAGAAACTGCTATCAAATTGATATATAATGCACTATTCTACCCAGACAGGGATTGTAAAATGTGGCTTTTCTGTTTCAGGTACTCCAAAAAAAATACTACAGATGTCAACACAACCTCAGATATGATTTGACATGGATGAACTCCAGACTGGAGCTAACATTTTGTGGTCAGGGTGAATTTGGTTCTTATGTAAACTGACCACTATGCTGTCTTACCAGTGTGCGTTCATAATATTGTCTGTCCTTGTGCAGGTCAATGACCTGACCATCCAGGGACCAGATGAAGGTGATGTCTAGATGGGGGTCATGTGAAGCATTACACTGCATCTGAACATTTTCGCCAACTGTGACATTAGCATCGGATGGTGCCAAAGTGATCTCTGTGGAATCTGGGGAAACACATAGGATGTGTTCATGAAAAAGAGGCTACTGCAGCCACTGAAAGCCTCAACCTGGGGAATTATTTAAAGTAAAGGCAATCTGATTCAATAGAATGAAAATACAGGCAAGTAACATAAAAGAAAAAGGGAGTACTGAGCAGTCCAGTAATAGAAAGATTTATACTGTAGTATGCCATACTAACACAATAGAAGTGGTATTGTTCAATATCCACAAATGTCCAGAAGAGGGCAGGAAAGAGCTGTACTTCGAGCACCATTGGAGATCAAATGTAAAAATGTTTGACAGCTAAGACTGCACTTCAAAAAATTACAAGCAAAAAAAACAAAAACAACTTCATATCAGTATTTCTATGCTATTCAATCAACTACTGAATCTCATTTACAACATGAGTGTACTTGACATTTTTCATTCAACAGTGTGAAGTCTAAGCCCTTGTCTCATCACATCTGATCTAAAATAATCCTCTCTCACCTTTACCCTTGGAGGATGTCTGAATATCTACCAATAACCTGCATATTGCCACTTTGCTTAGAGGGCCATTATTCAACAGTCGCAGACATTTGGAGGTCGGTGTTTGACGGGACTGAGAGTGAGAGGAATGATACGTAGCCAAGGCTGACATCAATCAGTGCAACATCAGATACAAAAGGCACAAAGGGAATTATTAATTAAGCATTGTTCATGAGATAAAACTTGCCTTTAACCTCCAGAGAGCCCGTGCTTTTGGCCTTGCCCCAGTCATTCTCCACAAAGCAGGTGTAACTGCCTTCATCTGCTTCCGTTACGTTGAGTATCTCCAGGCGCCCATCCTCCCAGATGAACAACCTGAGGAGAAGCTAGAATAAATTCTTCACACACTGAGATGACAGAGCTATATGGTATAAAATATTCAGACAATATGAGGGTCAAAAGTCCAGTGTATATTGTTCCATGGATATGTGGCTGATGAAAAATGATGAAAGTAGTGAAGGTAAAACAACTCAGCAAGAAGCTATATCAAATTACACTACAACATTTGATTCATTTTCTCTGCATATTTCATATTCATGCATGATAAAGCGCATTGTGCTAGCTGCCCCATCCCTACTCCACACCCTCTAGGATACAGACCCAGCACCCATGGAGAGTATTAGGAGGCATATGCTGCATAGTAATGTGACTGCTACTCCTCCTCAATGTGAGTCCTACTGTGGTGAAGGGATATGTAGGGTGGGGGAAAGGATTGGGGGTCTGTAAGCTCCTAGATTAGGCTTGTTTTGTCAGTGTGGCGCACAAGGCAGGGGTTTACACATCCTGTCTGACCAGGCTGATGGGCTAGAGAATGAGCTTAATGTCAGCCACTGACAGACAGCAAAGCAGAGCACGCCAAACAACACTCAAGATTTTGCTGGCATGTTGAGTAGGTTTTGAAGATCTAGAGCTTATGTAGATCCCCCAAATCCCTATACCATATGTGCCTTGCTATTCTAGAGGGGATCGATTTTAGATCTCCTTTAGAGTGAGACATGACATTATATTGACATGGACTAATTTGGTACCTCTAGAAAATAAGTAATTCCTAAATAAATACATAGATTTTTCTTTTCTTTAATTAGTATAACATGTCTTCAATCTTGTAATCAGTCATTCACCCTATTTAAATGGAGAAAAGCCATTTGGTGTCATTGTGTGCACCACACTAAACATGGACCAGAGAAAACAAAAGGGAGAGTTGTCTGAGGAGATGAGACAGAAAATTATAAGCAAGCTATGTTAGAGGTAAAGGCTATATGAACATCTCCAAGCAGCTTGATGTTCCTGTGATTACAGTTTCAAATATTACTAAGAAGCCTGAAGTTCAAGGGACTGTAGCCAACCTCCCTGCAAAAGGAAAATCAAACCCAGATTAAACAGAGGGATAGTGTGAATGTGAGACAAAGGTCCAAGCAAAAAATCCCAAGAGAAACAAGCTGAGGTCAAAGTACATCAGTGTCTTATCAAAGCATCACTTTGTGAGAGAGAGCTGGCTTAATGGAAGAATATCTAGGAGGATCAGAGTAAAATTTGTTCAGATGCATACTGACAAGCCACAAAGCTTCTGGGAGAGTGTCCTTTGGACAGACGAGACAAAATAGCAGCTTTTCTGGCAAGACACATCAGCCTTATGTTCAAAAATGAAGCTTTCAAAAAAAAAATAGAACACCATTCCTACTGTGAAACATGGAAGAGTTTGCTTTGCTGTATCTGACACAGAGTGTCTTAAATCTGAGGACAAAAGTGAGTGTGTCATGACCATCTTACCTGGTAGAGTTAGAAAGCAACTCAGTGTCTTTGCTCCAGGAGAAGGTAGGTTTTGGAGATGCTTTGGGTCGACATTCGATCACTGCCCGGCCATTTTTAGCTGCCAGGACTGTTTTCACTGGGTTGTGTTCAAATGTGGGAGCACAGGCTGAGGAGAGACGGTATTGATTATTCATCACAACATTAACTGGAGGCATTAAAGTTTGCATTTATAAAAATCGTGAGCTAACGTATTATACATGCTGTTTTGAATGGCCAATGACAATTTTTAAAAATGTTCTAAATTGATGTGTTTTGCACTCAGTATGTCCTGATGAGATCCAATTAGTCAGCTTGAAATGTGACCTTTAAATCCCTGATGCAGCCATTTGAGCTGTGACTGCAGCCAAAGTTTGACTCACCAAACACACGCAGCTCTGCATTGGCATAGATGACGCCATGGGGATTCTCTGCTATGCACTGGTACATCCCTGAATCGTCAAAAGTCAAGATGCTGACTGTCCAACTGTGGAAAATAACAAGAGTCTAAAGTTAAAATATCATCATCTTAAACATCACCATTTTCACACAATTCTAAATATATGACTAAGTAAATTATTAAACTCAAACTGCTGATTGTTGACATATACAGAGGTACAAATAACAAATACTTAATTTGAGGGATCATTTAATTAATGCATTATGATGTAATGCATTGTATCCTGTGGCATATATCAAAAATCCACCCCCACTTTGCTGTCACTGGCTGCTACTCTCCTGGGCATTGTTCAGGCCTGATTACACTTGTTTCTATAGAGGGTTAAACAACCCATGCTGGCACCTGCTCAGTAACAGCAAAGACTTTCTCCTGACATGATGTGCACCCACAGTGCCAGCTTCCTGTCACCGCTGTGCTACTCTAACAACCCTGGCCTGCACATTGAACAGATTCAGCTGACAAGAGGGCTCTGAGTATTTTACAGCTGTAGCTAAATTGCTCAGTTATAGGCCAAAAAGGATTTATGAGTTTGTATATTACCGGTTCTCCATTTTTCAGCCAGCGGATATGCGGTTTAGGTTTGCCACTGGCTCTGCAGGACATAGTGTACTCGCTATTGAGGTCTTCCTCTGTGCTGCTGATGTGATCCACCCACTCAGGAAAAGCTGCAAAAGAGAAAAACCTGAGTTACAGTATAATGTTTGAAAAAGAAATCTTAAAAAAAAACTACAAAGTTGCTAAATTATAAATGATATAGGGTGATACTTAAGGCATTAAAGTAGTTCTAGATCTAAAAAAGAACCAAAAAAGTGTACTACTGCAGGCACATCTAAGAAAAAAAGGCAGGAGATTCTATCACAGACAGAGCACCTAGGAGAGAACTAACATCGCTGAAAATTACACTGTAAAACGTACATTTAATGAATGTGTGTGTTCATTGTATTTTAAAATAACAAGGCTGACATTACATACAACATACTTCTTACCTTCTACAGACAAGCGTGCACTGTGAAAGTCCTTTCCTCTTGAGTTCACTGCCTCACACTCATAGATGCCGCCATCTTCAAACAGCACGTTGTACAGGTGCAGCTGAGCCCCTGACATCCGCACCTCATGACTGAATGGCAGGGTTCCACCTTTCTTCTTCCAGTGGATTTCAGGGACAGGGCTGGAATGGACAAAGAGGGAAAAATATTTGTAATGCATCCGGTGTCCATCACTGCATTCAAGTCATCATTTTGAACCACGTTTTATAGATCATTTATTTCAACAGGCATTGAGTCTAAATGAGCATTCCAACAGTCCACGCTACTGTGCATGTTACTTAGCATTAAGGGTGAACTAATAGTTTGTGAGAGACTGATGGATCCCTATAACTTTATTACAGAAGACAAACTCACTGGCTGATTCCAAGTTCTCATGAATCCATTCAGTGCACATCAAACTGTGCATGCTGACAAACAGAGGTAACCAATGACAGCTCACACTTACTTCCCCAAGGCAAAGCATTCCAAGGTGATATTCTGCCCCACCAGAGCAGTGGTGTTTGGGAACTTGACTTTGAGGTCAGCAGGGTATTTCCTGATGGAACCTGAGAGGAATAACAACAGGCCAGAATCATGACTCGGGTGCTAAACATACTTCTATCTGCTTAGCCTGAAACAAATAGTGGGTTGAAAATGACTTAGACTTATTTATGCTCTGACAGCTTAGTCATTTCTTGCTTTGACATCTGTGCAATACTTTGGTGCATAGGTGGGAGGTCCATTAAAAGAGGCGGCACAAAGCAAAGCTGTTGGTATTCTGGGAGGAAATGTCTTCGACTTTGCACAGAGACATCTCAGAATGACATCTGTTTCTGGTGCAAACTGCTGCCACTTTGGTGAGTTTATCAACAAAAGCAAATTACATACATAGAGCAAACGTCCATGTTGTTGTCGTGTGTCACTGTGATTGGCACAGCTATGTCACAATAAGACCAGTGATGAGACTGGCTAGGAGTAAATGTATTATTCACCACAGCTCTGGATTTATAATCATTTTGCACTGCTTAGTTTTGCATTTGTACCTTGTATTAAACATTTGCTGCACAGAGTGTTAACAAACAGAGACATAACGTTCGAGTTCCCGGTCTTCACCTGGGGCTATTCATTTTTCATAACATGCTGGCTCTGTCTTAAACCAAGCTCTTGTGTGGCAGTCATCATCTAATTTTACTTTTTTTTTTTGTGAATCTCATTTAAGGAGTCAAAAACAGTAGCATGACCTTATCATATTTAAAATTGATTAAACATGGTGCCTCAGAAGGGACAGGAGAAAAAATGTAGTATTTTGCTTCAAACTGACAGTAGTTTTCTAGCTTCAAGCTTATTTTTAAGAAACACTCCTGCTTTATAGTCACACTTTATATTGCTGGTAAAAATAGTTACAGCCTGAATATACTGTCTTTATCAAGGTTCAGGGATTTTATTGTCAATTCACTATATGTGCAGGACATACAGAAAATCAAAATACCGTTTCTCTCTCACCTAGTACTGGGTGCCATAACATTTAGGAACTAAAATAGAATAAAGTAAAATAAAAATAGAATAGAATAGAATAAGAACTGGATTAACGTAATTAGGATAAATCTAAACAGTACAGCCAATAAGCTGTGACTCAAAACCGTGTACAGTCAGTGACAATAGTGCAAACAATAATAGGAGATTGAACTCATCTTATCAAACACGTCATAAGGTTTGTGATTATTATAGACATTCAATCTCTGTTGTAGTTCATTGTTGTACTGAGAATACAGTAAGTACATTTTATACATTAAAACAATAAATCTTTGCACTAACTGCGGTGCACGACAAATGTTATTGTGACCCAAGTATTGTACTGTGATCAATCTGGCACAGGATAATTAAGCCAACCTAGATTCCGACTCTGGTTTTTATGTGGGCCATGTAAGAATATGAGCTTTCAGACTGAAGAAACCTGAAAGCTCAAACCACTGCTTCAGTATAATCATCACTCATTCAAATGTCAGATATCAGCAACTGGAAAGGCAATAGGCAGAAGGAAGTGAGGTACTAACGTTCAGTCAGAGGCACTAGGGGGATGTAGTTGGAGAAAACACTCTTGGAAATGGACGGGCTGGACACAATGCAGGAGTAATTTCCAGTGTCTGAGGAATCCACTTTGGAAATATAGAGGTTACCAGTTTTCTGTGACACAAAACGCCTGCTGTCCAGCGGGATGAAGGTGGGGAATTCATTGAGGATCCATCGAAATGACAACTCAGCTACACAGAAGAAGAGACAACAAAATGCCACTTGTCAACCAAAACTCATGGCAAACAGCAGCAACAGCATAAATATTAAACATATATACATATAAGTACAGTTTTCTTGGTTGATGGCTGTGGCTAAATAACAGCAAAGCTAATGGTACAACAAAAGTTTTGCTTAATCGTGGTCAAAGCACATGAAAGCACACCTGACTCACATGTCTGTAGATAGCAGTACCTAATGCTACATGATGGCGGGGACTGAACATCATTTTGTAGAATACATCAGAACACTATCACATGCTGTACCTGGATGATGTGCTGGCGGGGCACACAGCAACACTGCCCCCTGTCCCTCTTTGACTTTCACTGACTCCCTCTCCTCTGACGAGAACAGATCAAGGTCTGAGAGACAGCAAAATCAATTGTAAGATAGTTTCTGACTCAACAGCCACTTTGAATCATACATTCACATATGAGCATATCATAACTAATTTCCATTTAATCTACACTAAAGGTTTAAGGACTGTATAATGTTTAAAAGCTATTTTTGAATTGAGCTATAGTTTTTAAAAGAAAACTACATTAGCCATGCTAACACCATGAAGTTAGACCATTCATAAACTTCACTTTCCATACCTACTTATTATTCATCCCAGCTACCCTTGCAATTTCAGAGTTCTTAATATGCATGAAAGTACATCTCCAGGGCAGTTCTCTGTGAAATGTGTGTGGTATTGTACATTGCAGCCTAAACAGGTTTCACATCTGGGTTACTTACATCCGAACTGTACCAAGCCCTCTTGGCTGACGACCGTGCCATGCGTGTTAGTAGCCAAACAGCTGTATTTTCCTTCATGTGTGGTTTTAATGGGGTTGCTGATGACCAGGTTGCCCCCTACTAAACTGTAGTGGCTGCCTTCTTCATTCAGATCAATTAGCACGTTGTTCAGCTTCCACCTACAAAGAAAACAATGAGGGTCAATAAGGTAGTGCATTTTGAAAGTAGTCTGACAATATATGATATGGGAAAGTATAATTCTTACTTCATTATAATTGTTACATTTTTTTCTTTTACATGAAGCACCACACAGAATACTGTCATGTCAGTTGGTTAATACAGTGACATGCAGCATTTTAATTGCTCTAGTTTTGGCCTATGTGGCAAAGATGTGGTGTTTGGCCCTTTAGGGCAGGGTAACAGCTGACCTCCGCACACAGAAAAAAAAAATACCAAGATCCACCAACTGGGAGCTGTTCTATATGAAGTAAATTAATTTCATGCCTTGAAAAGCATAACATACCCTATTTTACTGTAAATAAATGCTCATCGACACTTTATACCAGCTGTGGTCAAAGCTAATTCCTCTCCTTTTGACATATAATTCTGGGCCCTCTGAGAACAAGGCCAATTTGAGGGATGCAGAGCAATATCATTTTACATACATTTACATCAAAATTAAAATGGATCATGCAAAATGCTTTAAATTTTGAGGTGGAGACATGATGGTCATGCTATTTCTGTTAAGGGCTCAGAAACCTGTAATGTGTTACTAGGTTTTCCTGACGTGTCATATTTTGACAATTAGTTCACATGCCGGTGGATTGCACACAGTAAACCTCGGAAACACATGAATCTAAACATCCTTGTGACCTTGCCATATAAAGGCAGTCTGAATACAGCCTGAGAGATGGCGAGTGATGGGAGGCGCACAGAATACACAGTAGGTGGTAATGAGACTGGCTTTATGGGGAACATATGCTACTTGTATGTGGCAGGTGGATTGGCTCGAGCCCGGCAGTTCATGATGATTTTGGCCTCAGGAGCCTCCTCGGGGTAGATGGTATTCACCGGCTGCTCCTCAAACACAGGCCCGTAACCTGTGGCTTCGTCTGTTGACAACAAACAAATAAGACAAGAGTTAATAACAACAAGCTGGGTCAGACTTACACACAGGAAATATCAAGGTGTCAGAGCTCAGCATCTGTCTGGCAGTTCTGGGCCAGGTCCATCAAAAACAAAGACAGTATAACATAACATAGACTGTGTGATAGCCCCTGTGAAGACCTGCCTTTTAACATTTCCATGTGTTTTGTGCTTTTCACACACTTATAAAGTAGCTGGTTTCAGATCATTCCAGGTAATAGATACAAATAATCTAATCCTTGAATCGACACTAACTTGTTTTCAAGCGCTAATGCAGAGTAATAAACCCCAGATTTATTCCAAATCACAACATCACACTAATTATGACCGATGTGCTCACTCAGGTGCCAAACCATAGTGTATTCATCTGTTGCCAAAGGCTATTGTTACAAGCTAATACAAATCCTGTAAAGGGAAACGCTAACTTGACTTAACATAATCCAAACCCCTTGCATACTGCATGTATCATCCTGTGCTGTGAAGCAGTAGCACAGGCAAATCCAGGGACAAGAGCCTCCTTGATGAAAATGCTTTTCTTGGATCAATCTGCCTTGTACAACATCATCGCATAAGTACAATTAGTCCCAATTACTCATTAAAACAGGCAGGCATCACGGGCAGTGGCATGAATAAGACATACACGCAATGCCAAGCTATGAATAAGCAATGAGGTAAAATGTTCCCAAACCCTTATTATTCTCTCAGATCAAGAGCATGTCTAGGTAACTGCAGGAA